ATTTTTTTTCAACCCAAATGTAATTTTGATTATATTTGATTTGTGTTCAGATGGAAAGTATAGGCTACTTATTTTGTGGACATATTAGCTATAGAATAAATATTTTATTGATTTCAGATTGGTGATAGCACTTATGTTACAGTGACGTCAGTGGCCTCATGTAGTTCGTGCTTGACAATGGAATTTCCCTTAAGTTTAAAATTTTTAAATATTTTAGCAAATTGTGTATTTTAAACTTCTTTAAATTTAAATTAAAAAAAAAATAGCTGCATCATGTCGCTTCTATGATAATTAATTAAAAGAAAAAAATTTTTATAGTGGCCACACGACATTCTACCAGGTTGTTCAATAAGTTTTGTCGTTCGATAAGAAAAACACGATTTTATGGTTTGAAATACATTTTATTATTCAATATAATCTCCCTGAACTTCAATACACTTGTTCCAGTGATCTTCTAATTTATGGATTCCATCCCTAAAGTGAGAATCCGGAAGACTGTCGAAATACGCATCCACGGCTGCTATTACCTCTTTGTTCGATGAAAATCGTTTCCCACGCATGAATTTTTTTAGATGTGAGAACAGCCAGAAGTCAGAGGGAGCTAAATCTGGCGAATAGGGAGGATGTTGCAACAATTCGTATTTTAATTTACTGATTTTCGCAATGGTTTTTTGAGCTGTGTGAGAGGGGGCGTTGTCTTGATGAAAAATGATTTTTTTCTTTTTTAAACCAGGTCTTTTCTCACGAATTTTTACATCTAGCTGGTCCAAAAGGTTACAATAATAATCTGAGTTTATTGTTTTACCAGTTTGGAGGTAATCCACAAACAAAATTCCTTTTGCATCCCAAAAAACTGATGCTAACACCTTCTTGGCCGATTTCTGGACCCTAACACGCTTCGGAGCCGAAGTACCGGGTTCACACCACTCTTTAGCCTCTTGTTTTGATTCAGGATCATGGTGGTAGACCCATGTCTCATCCATAGTGATGAAACGACGCACAAAATCCTTTTTATCCTTTCTAAAACGCTCCAAATGTTGCTGAGAAAGTTGCATTCGAATGTGTTTTTGTTCCATAGTTAACGAATGCGGCACCCATTGTGCACACAGCTTTCTGTAACCCAAAACTTCGGCCAAAATATTGCTCACACTGCCTAACGAAATCCCTAGGGCTTCTACTAAATCTCTCTCGGTTAATCGACGATCTTCCAAAACCATATGCTGTATTTTTGCTACGATTTCTGGTGTTGATGCACTTTTTGGACGCCCTTCACGTGGATCGTCTTCAAGACTCGTACGACCACGTTTAAATTCAGCAACCCATCTTTCTACTGTTCTGATTGAAGGTGAAGAGTCCTTATACACTTTTAACAATCGTTCATGAATTTGTTTTGGTGCTACACCTTCCAAAAATAAGAATTTTATCACTGCACGATATTCGATTTTTTCCATCGTAAAAAAATACAATGACACGTCGACTTTGAACAGCTGCAAATATACAATGAGTTGACGGATCTACTTGAAACTTGACACATGTTTATGAAATAGTAGTACTATTTATAGAATAATAAAGTGACGCTCCTAGTAGCGCCACCTCTTATCGAATGACAAAACTTATTGAACAACCTGGTATTATCCAATCAGAAGAAATGATCTAATGAGACTGTTATTTAAAATGTATTATCACACTTTAACTATGCTATAGGCTACTTAATTTATAGAAACATCAGCTACTCTTCCTGAATTTCTTGAAATTTGTACTCTTCTCAATTCTTCAATCCAGTGGTGTAGCATAGTGGGGCGGCCCACCTCGGGCTGCACTTTTAGGGGGCAGCAAAATTTCACAATAAATAATAATAATAATAATAATATCTTGTAAAAATTTGAACCAGTTCATTTAATAGTTTTGTCGCACCTACAATTTGGACTGATTAAAATGAGCACAGAATAGTGTTACCACCCGGACAGTTTGGAAATTGACTCACTGTCCAGGTGAACTGTTAATTTTTGTCCGAGTATATCATGCGCGACCTGTCGATCTTTTTTTTTATTTTTATTATTTTGCTTGTAAGATTCATTTATATTCGTATAAAGCTCCAATATCCAATAGAGCTAAGTCATCTAGGTTACTTATGTTACTCCTACCCAAGTCTCCCTAGTCCTTAACTGTAACTGATTTAGAACCAGCATGCACTGCACATTATTCTTTGCATTGCAAAATGACATTACGCATGTGTCAGGAACTTCTGTTCGAACAAACCTCACCTGCCCTCCAGGTCAGCGATTTTAAAAAGGTGCAACACTAGCTCAGAATTTTTCATTACTTATTCTGTGACAAAACTGAATTTTAGTCTTTTAAATTGAGATACCTAAATAAGGGGATGGCGAAATTTTCCTTTGCCCCTGGCGGCTGACACCCACGCTACATCACTGCTTCAATCTCTACTTTCTCATTGAAAGTAGTCTGTCATGCTTGATGGGGGAATTTTTAGTGTGTGTGTGTGTGTGTGTATATTTGGTCAATTTTTCAAAATGTGAATTATGAATGCATTAATTATTGATTTCAGCTGATTATCAGAAGTTTTAAACTTAAATTGGCTGATATTTAATAATTATAAAATGTTAATTTTTAAAACTGAGATGCAGTTATCTTCAATTTTCTATTGGATATTTTTTGTTGTTTTTATAGAATTTAAAATTGAAATATTAAGTGAATTAATTGTAAAAAATTTTAATATTTTAATGAAGTTTTATATTAAAAATAATCAAATAGCATTAATTATTGATTAAATATGAAAATTTTGGAATACTTGTGTACACATGTACACTAGATACCGTGTGTGTGCAGGGGTGTGAACCAACTTAATATTACTCAGATCAATTATAAAATTTATGAAATAGTAGTGTTAATTTTTAGTAGTATTATTTTTAATTTTGGACATTGATCTTGGTTTTTTCTTAAATGGATCTTTTGAAGTGTTTCTCACATCAATAATGATTCACAATCATTTGAACTGTGATCTTCCTTCAGTGTTATGAATCATAATGCTAAAAGTGAATGGATAATTAAAACAAACAGAAAATAATGTAATCAACAATATATGAATTTTAAATAAAATATAATATATTACTTTTTATTTTAATCTAATTTAATTTTTTGTAAACCAGCATTTTAATATTAACATCAGAGGAAATTCTTTTAAAAGATTGATGTAGTAATCCTAAATAAAAAGATTGAAATTTATTTTTGACAATGGTTGAATTTTAGTATTCAGAGACAACACTTAAGAGTTAATATTATAGATTGAAATTGTATATTTAATTTCAATATATTTTTTAAAAATCTAACTTAAAAAACTTTTGTAATGTAAGTTATATTTTTAAGTAATAAAAACTAAAATATTAGATTTTAATCAGGCTATTATATGGCTAATTAATTAGCTATGCAGTGTTAAAATCGGGCACTGAATACACACTGCCAGATTTTAACAATGCAGTATGTAACAAAAGTATGTTGTTCAATAGGAATTCAAATTTTTAATATACAGTGAAGATAGATAGAAGAAAAAGAATAGGTTGGGAATTTTAGAAGTAATTTCTTTTGCCAAAGGCTAATAGTTCTCTTGCTGTGTGTTTTGAGTTTTCTTTGGGACACCTCTACCAAATGATATCATTATAACTAGTGCAATAACGTTTTTATGTACAGTTTATTTACAGAAGAGATCTGTAAAAACACATCAGTAAATGCAAAAACACCATATCGCACAAGTCCGTACTGAACCTTGTAGCAAGATTTAAGAAGGGTTTTAATTTTATTACTAATAGCTGTTTTAAATTGAATTAAAGAAATTTTTTAATTAAAAAAAGGAAATAAATAGTATTGTTGTGCAAACAAACTAAAGTTTGAAGTCTGAAAAAACCAAAATTACTTGGATTTATATATTTGGCTTAGATATGCATATATGTATATACAAATGCATGCACTTCCACATACACAGTATATAGATATACAGAATATCACGGAAAGGTTGTGCCTAGTTTTTCTGGTCATATTAGATGTAGTTTAAAACTTTTGGTATACTAAAAACTGCTTTTTCACATGATATTTTTATTATTTAATCTTTTGAATTTTTAAGATCAAACAGTTGTAATTTTAAAATTTCAAATGACAACCCTTAACTCATAGCACACAGGATTTTTAATGTAGAATCTGATGGTACTATCAGATTGAAATTGAATGAATGGATTTAGATAACTAAATGAAACACGGAAATTGAAGAGAATTAGGGAATGAGCAAACAAATTTTTTTTTCATTCCTTAATTAACTCAATTTAGTCAATTAGAATCTCATATAGTTTTTTTCAATTATAACTTTTGAATGTTTCATTTGAATTCAAATTTGATAGCACTGTTGGATTATGGGTTGCCATTTGAAATTGTAAAGTTATCAAAATAGTATGTGAAAATGCAGCTTTTAGAACTATTAGTATACCAAAATTTCAAACTCTTGTATCTATTATATTTACTCAAATGTAAGATGCAAATATTAAATAACTTGAGACAAATTTGTCTCAAGTTGTCTATTTAAAAAAAATCTGAGTGAACATGTAGAAATTAATGTGTCTTAGATTTGAGTAAATATGGTATTACAACCAGAGATAAGTCTGGCATTGGGACACATTGTATAACTCCAAAAAATTCCATATTTGGTTGCCATGTTAGTCTTTTTCTAGATTTTATATTATTTTAATAATTGTTTTTTAGTTTATTATTGTTTATTTTATGAATAAAATATAAACATTCATTGCAGAAGTTTGATAAAATATGACTGTTCTCTCATATAAAGTTTGTTTATATAGACTAATATCTATTCTTATTGCTTATAGACCAGCCATTTTTTGGTAAAACTCATATTACATTAACTTAATTTGTTCTTTATAATTCTTGGCTTTGTAAATTGTAATATTGCTACATTTATATGAACTTTCTCTTTTTTCCAGGATTTCTGCATTTGAATATTTAAAAATATAAAATGTCAAAAGTGAAAAATGCTCAACCTGCATTGCATAAAGTTATTATGGTTGGAAGTGGTGGTGTTGGAAAATCAGCATTAACCTTACAGTTTATGTACGATGAGGTAAGACATTTGAAAATGGTTAGTTTAAAATATCGGAAGGTTTAATTGTACATGAATTTATTTTTAAGGAAAATTCATCAAATAAGCTTTTGTGGTTAAAAATATTTATCTGTAAAAGTATCTCATATTCAAGTAAATACAATTTTATATGTTAACAAAATCCTAATTTTAAGATTAGGGTATGCATGTTCAAATCTATTTATCTAGAAAGATCTTGACTTGATTTCTTAGTGGAAAGTTTTTCCTACTTAAAATTATTATATATTCAACTGTATATAAAACTCCTTTCCAAAAGTTTAGAAACACTTTGATCAACAATTGCATTGCCATAAAGTTAAGAATAAAAGCTTTTTGTGAAATTGTTAGTTTTATTGAAACTATTGATACATGCAAAATACTTTATCAAAATTTGTCATAAGTGTTACTCTTGAATTAATTAAATTTATTGCTATTAATATAATTCAGGGGTTGGCAACCTTAAATGCTCAGAGCCATTTGGAGCTATTTTCCATAGAAAAGAAAACACTGGGAGCCAGAAAACCTTTTTGACGTCTAAAATGAAGCTAACATTTTATATACTTTTTTTTACTTTTATACTATGCTTTTAAAAACTATTGTGCTGCCTTTATGAAATAAACTGCTAAAGAGAAAACAAAACTTTATTTCTGCATGCAATAAAACATTTTGAACTCAAAAAAGACATTGGTTTGAAGATTACTGTCAAATAAAATCCTTTGAGTTTACGTTGTATTTATGAAATAAAAAATGAACTTAAATTATCCACCTGTAGTGAACAAAACTGGCATATGTAGTTGAATTTGCAGACTGGATTCACTTTTTGAAATGATATTTGATCTGATCAATCCTCTGTATCAGTTTGAAACAGCTTCTTTTCCTCTCATCTCCATTCTGATATTTTTCAGCAAAGACTGTGTTTATTGTGGAAATGTCTTGCAACATTTGACTTTTGGTTATTTGACAACTTCTCACCACATATCAAGCATACTGGTAAGCCATTGTCATCAGCACTAAAAGCAAATAAATCTGCCACGTAGCATTAAATGTTCTGTTTTCTTCAGAACATTTAATGCTACGTGGCATTAAGAAATTTTCCTTTTTTATGATTTATCATAGTTTGCCTACCTGGAGTTTAAAAGCTCTACAAATTGCACATTGCCAGTTGTGATGCATATTTTGAGTGACCAAAAAAATTAAATATGCTTTATTTTAATGCTACAAGAGCACAATACTCTTCAAATTTAGAATTACATTTAAAAAAACTAATGAATTAAAATTAAATAAATTCAAATTAAATATTTGCTATTTATTTTCTAAAGCCACAGGGAGTTGCAGCAGATGGATGAAAATATTACATGTGACTCCAGAGCTGCAGGTTGTCAACTCCTTGTATAATCTGATCGAGTACAGTACATGTATCAAAAGTACAGAAATACAAGTAATGTGTTGAAAACTTTAGAAACATGGGAATAAAACATTTGGAGTTCAACTGTGAAAAAATGTACTCGAAGTATACTTCTGTTACACACCGATGTCTGTTACTTTTGTGTCATGATCATGTGTTTTCTGTGCTTTTTTTGCTTTATTTTTGGTGTTTTTGTTATATATATTGTCTGTTAATTTTAAATAAGTTCTTCCTATAATTTTTTTTTTTTTTGCTGACAGCTTTTGTACACCCCATACATTTTGTATCATTTAGTTTAAAATTTCCTAAACAGAACTTTTCAAACTACATTTTGACATAAATAAGAGCAGAGGGGTCGGGCATCCACACACCTGTTTTCTGTAAACCAGGTTTGATGTCCGTGTACATACCGGTGGGGTCATGTGACCCTTTTCTGTATAAGATTGCAGCATACAGCACTTTAATTAAGAGGGCATTTACACATTTGTCTACTCCACTAGCTCTTGCCACTGAATTAATGCTTATACAGCGCATAGCCTCCACACGTGGGTATCCCAAGCTTACCCATAAATTGATTGAACGGTATCACCACACATGCTCAGAACTCACCATCATGGTTGACATGTGGAGGGACAACCAGCCCGATGAGGAAGAATGGGTCCCTATCACATTTTATCGATACATAAAATCATTATGTACTGAGATCACCAAGAAATGCCGCATTCAGATCATGTTCAGGAGTGTCTGACCATCTTAGATATCTTCTGCAATGGGAAGGACCTCCCAACCAGAACAGACTCCCTGGCATATACAGTATCCCTATTAGGGACAACAGGTTTGGTAGGGACCTCATTTACATCGGCTCGACTAAGCACTCCTTGGGAGTCAAATTACAGGAGCACCTCGCGGACATACAACATGTGAGAAATACCACTGCCCTTGCCACATACACCGCGGATCCAGACATTGTGAAGCTTGTCCTCACTTCACCCCGCATGGAACACCTAAGATTGTTGGAGTCTGTTCACATATATAAATCTAGCCTTATCGCCACTTGCATCAATTATAAAGAGGAATTGGTTTTGTTGGTAGCCTGGTAGGCACTGATTGACATTGATCCTTAAATTCAAGATCTGCTAGCCATATGAATGCGCATGCGCGACATGACAAATATTTTTTCAGCATCGGATTTGAACGAATCTTCAAATGCTCGTATTCCAAGTGTTTTATGTTTTATCAGAAATTCCATTTAACACCTAAAGAACAACTTGGGAGTTCGAAAACGTTAGTGGTAAATTTTCTCTTTTGTTTTTTTTCTCTGCACACATGTCATCTGTTTATAGAGTACATTTTTTACTACACCCCGGTGTTGTGTGTTGCTTAAAATGAGTATTGTTTGGCATCTGGAAATGGATTAATTCACTTTCCATTATTTCTAATTGAAAAATTGATTCAGATTTCAAATGATTTCATAGTTTGAACAGCCTCCTGATATGTATTAGATTTGAAATATGAGGTGCCACTGTAGTTACTTTTTACTTATTATAACATTAATAGTTTTAATTTCACTTTCTTTTCTAGCAAATGACAGCTCTTCATGTATCCAAGCTAGACCACACAAAAATTTTGAGAATCTAATTAATTTCATCAGTGTAGTGTTAGATGTCTAAGCTTTATTTATCTGTCAATTTTGTTCATGGTTGCTTAACATGCTAACTAATTCAATTGCATATCAAGCTCAATCATAATCAATCAAATAATGATTACATAGTTCAAGTAATATTGTTGTCAGAAAATCCAATTTATCCATTATGAGTAAAATTACTATCAACATGATCAGCATTTAATTGATGAACAAAAGTTGATAATGAAGTGTTAAGATTGATTATTGTCTTAATTTTTGTGTTTTTGTATATAAGTTGCATATTTTGTTTTATGTCATTATGTATTACATTTGTGTTTTCCCCAGGCTTGTTTTGCCAGGTGCCTGGATGATTTTTCTTCAAAAATTTTTAAGAAGTGTGTGTTTGGAAAAGTTGACTTTTCTTGAGTGTAGTTCAATCCAAACTTTAATGTATCTTTACCAGAACACATTCAAACTTTAAATAAATACATGTTCTTTCAAACAGATCAATTAACACCTCTGTGAATATCTTTAAAATATTTTCACCCATGTACAGTAAATTAAAATTTTTAAAAAATGTGAATTCTGACATGTCATATAATTTTTCTTTTGGAATACGATTTGAAAAACATTAAAAAATTTAATTTTTAGAAAATTGTACTGATGAATTTTTTCAAATATTGCATAATTGATAAAGCCTTAAATAGGCAAAAGTGCTTTTTTTAACATAAAAATAATATAGCATTGTTCTGTTTGTACTTGCATAATGTGAACAATTTTTTTATTGAAAATTAATAAAAATTCCTAAATAAGCAACATCAAAATCAATTCAGAATAATTTACTTTGTTTTAAAAAAAAGTAGCCAAAATGATAACATTTCACCAACATCAAAGCTGTTGACAATAATCTTGTTCAAGATAGAATAATGTTATTTATTTAAGGAGAGAGATCCACCTGGCAGTTTTTATTGACCATCTGGCAAAAAATTCTGGCAAGAATACTATTTTGTACACTCAAATATTTTGTAATATTTTAATGTAGTATTGTTTACAAAAAAAAATTGAGTTTAATTTGGTTTTGTAGTGGGTAATCAACAAATGCAAACTGTTACACAAAATGCCTGAAAATTGCCAGTCATTATTTCATCAAATTCAGAACATACAATATGACTAATAGGAGTCAAAAGAATTTAATTTGCCTAAAATATCAATATTTATCATATTGTACAATGAATAATGAATTTGATAATGTCAGCATTTTGTAATTTGCTTAGGCAGGTTTATAAAATGTCTAATTATTCAATATGTCTGCAACATATACAGAAACAACCCATAAGTATCTAAAAATACGGGTGTCTATTTACTCTCTTTTATTTCACAATGTCCCTATGATCCAAGTGCCACATATATACATATTAAAACCACAAAGTCTTAATCCATTCAGGCATGGAATTAATGAGTTCTGCTATCTTGGCTTGTTGGCCCACTCAGCATGCAAACAATCTAAAAGTTCTCCACAAGAAACAGGTACAGTCGACCCCCCCCATAACACGGGTTCATATAGTTCGGATTCCTATATCACGGCGAAAAAATTGCGATAGTGTTCATACAAACATGCTAAAAAAAACTTGTATAATTCTGTAAAACGTCATTGCCGACTCGTGTTGTGACAGGATTGGTTGAATCTTGACCAATAGCGGATATTGTACAAACCATTGAGTTTAAACGAGCAGTGGACCTACTAAACACCATTTATTGTTTAATATCTATAAAAATTATATTTATATTAATGATGTCTCCAAAGTTCAGCGAATTTTTCGCAAAAAAAAATAATTTATCAGGAAGAATGCAAGCGCCATTCGATGACAAGCTCCACAACGAAAACAAGCTTAAGCAATGGCGTAGTCGAATGGTGCACGCTCGGTAAGTAATCCTACAATTTTTTGTTTATAGCATAGTTTATCTGGATTATTCCCAAAAAATTATACCTATTTTGGAAATGTTGAGTCAAATTAGTCTAGAATCGATTAATTTTATGGAAGAAAACCTTTCAAACAGCCGTAGTCCATAAACTGCATACGTGCTGGGCTGTGATTGGCTTATGTATTTAAGGACTCTTAGAACATCAATTCCATAAAGAACGGAACGTATCTACTGTGTTATAGGGGGTCGACTGTATTTGCAAATATCATTGTGTCACATGATTCAGCAGATTCCAGATGTGTTCAATAGTATTCAGGTTGGGAGACTGGCCCTTGGAAGCTTGTGAATGCCTTGTGTTCCCAGCCATTTCCAGGTCTTTTCGACAGTGTGTCAAGGAGCTTCATTGTCCACAGAGTGAATGTTTTGTCAATTGGCTCATCAAAGAATATTGAAGACTCTTCTCCAACATGACAATGTATTTTTCAGAATTAATGTTGTCTCATGCATTTTCTGGCATTCCCAATGTCTATTTTCTTATGGGTTGTCTGTATATGTACTATGTATTGAACTTCTAAAATCATTTTTGTGAATTGAAAAAAATTTACTGCTGTGATTAGTTTCAATTATTATGTATAATGCATACAAATTTTTTTTCAAATGTACCTAATAAAAAAATTGATAATTTTGTAATAATGTTTTGTGCAGTTTGTAGAAGATTATGAACCAACTAAAGCAGATTCTTATCGTAAAAAAGTAATGCTAGACGGAGAAGAAGTTCAGATAGATATATTGGATACAGCAGGTCAAGAAGATTATGCAGCAATAAGAGATAATTACTTTCGTTCAGGAGAAGGCTTTCTTTGTGTTTTTTCTATCACAGAACATGAAAGTTTTTCTGCTACAATGGATTTCAGGTAATAAATAAATTTTATTATTAGAATGACTTAAGAAGACTGCCAAATAATTGATACTTTTTTCATTATTTTAAAATGCTTGATGTTTATTACATCAAATGATCAAATTATTATAAAATACTAGCAGATAAGCCCGGCATTGCTTGGGCAAAAAGTAACAATAGCGAAGATTAAGATAATTACATTACAGTCAATCTTACCTGTTTTCACAGAACGCAAGAATTAGGTTATCCTGTTTGCAGACTAATTAGAAAATTTTTAGATGGGTCTAAAATTATGTTCGATTTAACGCAAAAAACCGCATCTGCGCCTGTAAATTTTGCACGTTGTTTTCTCTTAACACTTCCATTGTTGAAGCCTTAATCCTGTCCCTTTCCCTGTGGGGAGGGATTTCGAAAAATCCCTTGTTANCGAGCATTTCATTGAGAGCATTTCAGCACGGTTAGGAGTTGAAACTTGAAGTTTGGTACACAGTTAGGGCACACCATGAGAATGCACACTAACAAGGGATTTTTCGAAATCCCTCCCCACAGGGAAAGGGACAGGATTAAGGCTTCAACAATGGAAGTGTTAAGAGAAAACAACGTGCAAAATTTACAGGCGCAGATGCGGTTTTTTGCGTTAAATCGAACATAATTTTAGACCCATCTAAAAATTTTCTAATTAGTCTGCAAACAGGATAACCTAATTCTTGCGTTCTGTGAAAACAGGTAAGATTGACTGTAATGTAATTATCTTAATCTTCGCTATTGTTACTTTTTGCCCAAGCAATGCCGGGCTTATCTGCTAGTATTTTATAATAATTTGATCATTTGATGTAATAAACATCAAGCATTTTAAAATAATGAAAAAAGTATCAATTATTTGGCAGTCTTCTTAAGTCATTCTAATAATAAAATTTATTTATTACCTGAAATCCATTGTAGCAGAAAAACTTTCATGTTCTGTGATAGAAAAAACACAAAGAAAGCCTTCTCCTGAACGAAAGTAATTATCTCTTATTGCTGCATAATCTTCTTGACCTGCTGTATCCAATATATCTATCTGAACTTCTTCTCCGTCTAGCATTACTTTTTTACGATAAGAATCTGCTTTAGTTGGTTCATAATCTTCTACAAACTGCACAAAACATTATTACAAAATTATCAATTTTTTTATTAGGTACATTTGAAAAAAAATTTGTATGCATTATACATAATAATTGAAACTAATCACAGCAGTAAATTTTTTTCAATTCACAAAAATGATTTTAGAAGTTCAATACATAGTACATATACAGACAACCCATAAGAAAATAGACATTGGGAATGCCAGAAAATGCATGAGACAACATTAATTCTGAAAAATACATTGTCATGTTGGAGAAGAGTCTTCAATATTCTTTGATGAGCCAATTGACAAAACATTCACTCTGTGGACAATGAAGCTCCTTGACACACTGTCGAAAAGACCTGGAAATGGCTGGGAACACAAGGCATTCACAAGCTTCCAAGGGCCAGTCTCCCAACCTGAATACTATTGAACACATCTGGAATCTGCTGAATCATGTGACACAATGATATTTGCAAATACAGTCGACCCCCTATAACACAGTAGATACGTTCCGTTCTTTATGGAATTGATGTTCTAAGAGTCCTTAAATACATAAGCCAATCACAGCCCAGCACGTATGCAGTTTATGGACTACGGCTGTTTGAAAGGTTTTCTTCCATAAAATTAATCGATTCTAGACTAATTTGACTCAACATTTCCAAAATAGGTATAATTTTTTGGGAATAATCCAGATAAACTATGCTATAAACAAAAAATTGTAGGATTACTTACCGAGCGTGCACCATTCGACTACGCCATTGCTTAAGCTTGTTTTCGTTGTGGAGCTTGTCATCGAATGGCGCTTGCATTCTTCCTGATAAATTATTTTTTTTTGCGAAAAATTCGCTGAACTTTGGAGACATCATTAATGTAAATATAATTTTTATAGACGTTAAGTAATAAATGGTGTTTAGTAGGTTCGCTGTTCGTTTAAACTCAACGGTTTGTACAATATCTGCTATTGGTCTAGATTCGACCAATCCTGTCACAACACGAGTTGGCGATGACGTTTTACCGAATTATACGAGTTTTTTTAGCATGTTTGTTTGAATACTGTCACAATTTTTTCGTCGTGATATAGGAATCCGAACTATAGGAACCCATGTTATAGGGGGTCAACTGTAATTTTTACAATAGAATAAAAATACAACCATTCTCACATTATATGGATATATTTTTATTGTATTGTAAAAACTTATATGTTCATATTTTAGAACAACCAAAGAGGGCTTGGACCTAGTGTTCACAATATGCATTTTGGATGAACAATTTAAATATTTTTATTTAAAAAAAATAAATAAAAAAATAAAGCAGTTCTTTGATAATTGGTGTCAGCATTTCATTTTTCAATAGTATAAGTTAGTACAGTACATGTCTGTAGAATTTAATGGTGTGTTGTATTGGTCATATTGAACATTATAATTTATTTGACAAAATTTGCATAAGTTACCCTGTATATATACCTGTATATAAAGTAATTTGATAGTGTTCTATTGCTTTATATTTTTATTAAAAACAATATGTTTAGATACATAAGTACATCCATATGATATACAGAAAAGTCAGACAACTAAAAATTTTTCAGCTCAGTTATAAATTAAGGAACTGCTGTTGTTAAGCAGTGCATACCTGTATGTGCTTATAATTAAATTACTTTATGAACTTAAACTTGTTTCTAATTATTCTTAAATATTATCATTTAAAAAGTGTTAAAAAACTGATTATTTATTATTAAAGGGAGCAGATTCTTAGAGTGAAAGGTGATGATAACATACCATTCCTCTTGGTTGGTAATAAAGCAGATTTAGATGATAGAAGACAAGTCTCTTTAGAAGAAGCTCAAAATCGTGCTAAACAATGGAATGTTCCTTATGTAGAAACATCAGCCAAGACTCGTGCCAATGTTGATAAAGTAAGTTTTCTTCTTGGATCTGATTTAAAATAGATATCTTTTTTGATTTTCAAATATTAAAAATTACTCTGTTGTTAATTGTATATTTGATAATTGTATGTTAAAATAAATTAATTCATTAATACATTTTGAACATTCAGTCTGCTTGGTATCATAAATGTGATTTATTAAGTTTAATTTTTAAATTTTTAGTCTTAGACACAATTAAATTGAAGTAAATGTAATAACTGAAGTTAGAATGAATGTTTGCTTTACTTTATTATGTCAACTTTATTGTGTTTTGGATTTTCTATAAATCAATTAATAACATTCAACTTTGAATAATTTAAGAGTTTCATATAATATTACAATAAAAAAATTCTAATATTTTACAGTTATTTAAGTATGAGGATAATTCAATAAATAAAGTGAAAAATATTTATACTTGTTTTTTTAAGTTATTTAAATAAGCAGAACAAACATTGGGCAATACAATATCAACACATTATATTTGTAACTATCAAGTGTGCAAAGTAATAAACAAAATGGCTGTTCTACTCTCTGATTATATTTTCAAAACATGCAGGCCTTTGTTAATGCTTAAAGTAAAAGATATTTATGAAATGATGAAAAGTTTAGAGAGATCATTATTTGTTTAAAAAAATTATTTGTTTTTTATAGGTGGATTAACAACTTAAAAAATAAAGGCCATAATTTTATTAAAGATTATGCATGGCCTGGTTGTTCATTTTTAGTCTCAATTTACATCATGGGAAATGAAATTTAATCTAAGTTTGGAAAATAAGAAAATTTCCATACATGAAATAACTGATATTTTGTCTACTAGTGTTAGGACTGTACACACCATTATCAGAGGTTATCAATAATTAGAAGAGTTTCTATAGATGTGGGCAATAGTGCAAATATTTTTATGAATAATCAAAAACATTTATAAATACTATATATTACTAGTAATAAAACAATGGAAGACAAATACAGAAATGAAGGAAAATTGTACTGATATTGTTGTCTTTTTTAGATAAATACACCTTTTGAATTTTAATAAGTAATTTCTGTCTTATCTTTAGTAAATTAAGACTGTCATTGTTTGTTTAAAAGTTTTGCATATAAGCTTGTTAGAAAACATTACTCATTATAATGAACAAAATTATTTGCATTCTCTTTGAAATATGTTACACCATTTTGAGCACAGTGTCCATTCATAGTTTTGCATCTTGATAGTATATAAATAATTTATACTCAATAGATATTAAACATCTGACTAAAAACAATGCTTTTCTTAAAAAAATTTAAAAGTTTAGTAATTGTTTGAACTATCATAATTTTGTTGTCATATTCTAAATATGCAGTATCAAATAAGAATGTTATCAAAAACTTTATTCAAGTTACCAAATGTTTCCTTACATAATTTTACAGTAGACTTTACAGTAGGCTGTAAAGTGAGTTTGTGAAGCTGGTATTAAAAGCTCTCTTGGTTCTGAAAGAATATATTATTGCAACTATCTTAATCAGAATATCAACAGCATCTCTAAACCCAACTTATTAGTAAAGCCAAAGTCCAAATTATCAAGCTATCATATGGCTAAGTTAATTATTAGAAACTAATTAATTTGTCTAGAGCACTGGTTCTCAAAGTGGGTTGTGAGTAAATCCAGGGGGTGAAAAGGAGGAAGTGGCTAGCAGGGATGCACTGGGGACAGGTACTGAATAGTGACAATAAGCAATGGTTGGGATCACTGAAAACTTTCCCTTTTCGTGTTAAAATGGGTAAGAAGAAATGTTGCATTTAATGGTTATCAGATGTGGAAAACAATATATGGTAAGGACACAAAGTGTGAGTTTCATAGAAAAGATTTTCTAAAAATATTTTCAAGCCCTCCTCACACAGGAGAAAATGAGTTAGGTGGTGTTAGGGTATGGTTGGGGGTGTTGGATATAATTTTATGGAACCAAGGGGGTGGTTCATAAAAGTTTGGGAATCACTGGTCTAGAGGAAAGACAAAATTAGTTCCTAATCATCAACTTAGCCATATAATAGTCTGATAATTTGGCATTTTGGTTTTACTTAGAGTAATTTTATGTAAATTTATAATTAGATATTAATGATTTATGGTAGGCTAATTATGGTGACTTAAATGATAAACATTTATGAAGTAGTAACTTGCATGAGTGCTTGTGCGGTAGTAAATTTCCACATAACTAAGAAGTACAAAAAATACTACTTTTCACCATGATTTCAACAATAACTAAAGCAATACAGTTTAAAAAATTAGGATGAAATATGGAAAAGAAAAATATAATAGTTAGACTGGATTTATTAATAATGAAAAAATCTTTGCACAACAAGTAAATTTCTTTCTATAACAAATAAATATTTTTTTCTAATTTACAAGTTGCCAGTAGATTTGATAATATGAAGAAACAATTATAAATTTCAAATATTAAAAAAAATGGAGTAGAGATTTTTGTTGGTATAATTAACCACAGGTTAATATGATAACATAAAAAAAATTTTGATACTTTGATTTCAACTGAAAGTAGAAATTACAATCAACTTGTTGGCCAGTTCTGTAATATTTAAAATATGCTTTAACATTTAATTTTCAAGTGTTCTGTGAGCCCAAAAAGATTGAGAACCATTGGTATAAACTTTATATATTTTTTAATCTAAATTTCTTTTCTTATAGTTCAGATTTACATTTTAAGAAAGCAGATGTGTAATACAATATAATTTATCAAGTATTTTGAAAGTATTAGATGACTTTTATATTTTGTTACATAATAATGAAAATTTAAAAACAAAATTTAATCAAAACTGCTTAAATACTTTGCTGATTAGGAATTTTTAAAATGTTTTTAGCTATAAAATACTTTCATTAATGCAAATTTTATTTTAATATAGCTATTTTTATTTTTAAGGTATTCTTTGACTTGATGCGAGAGATAAGAAATCGTAAACAGACAGAAAGCAAGGCAAGTAACGGGCCAAGAAAACCTGGAAAAGGCAAAATTAAATGTGTAATACTATAGATCTTCCTGAACTTTTCAATGCTACGTCTATGCGTAGATTTGAGTCTCTGCAGACTCCTAATTGGCATTTTTTGATGGGAAAACATTTAATTCCATTAATATAGGACACTTCTGGGTGTAATATATGAATATAAATTTTTTTGAAAGATAGAATATAATATTAATGAATAATTTTTTAAAGAAAATGTTGATTTATTTTTCAAATCATTTATTTCAAAATATGAACAAAATAGAAACAGTGATTTGATTTGAAAGTTCTTTTTTCTCCATGTAAATATTCTGTACAAATATATAATTTTGAATTTATTCTCCTTGTAAAAATTCAAATTGTGATGTTTTTATCTTCAATCTCCTGGAAATGTAAACTAGAAATCCTTGTACTTTCCTGTACAATGTGATTTAAATACAGTATTGTCACGATATGAAAACTTTACAAAAAAGACATCTGATTTTTACATATTTGTAATTTTAGTAGAATTTTGTAAAAGCAATTGCATTTTTATTGCAACTTGAAATGTGAGAATATTTGGGCAGTTGACAGCGAAACATTTGGGGGGAAAACAGTTTTTCCAATTTTTATGTATAATGCTGAATCTTGTCCTCCAGTTATGTACTCTATCCTGCCACTTTGTAAGAGGGGAAAAAATGATTTCATGTGGAGTATTATAAATTTTGAAGTTAAACATTTTTTTATGGTTATGTTCAGTTTCATATGTTATATTTTGTTTGTATTTCAATATAAATTCACTTTAAAAAATATATATATAATTTAATTAATAGGACAATATGCATTATTGTTACTTATATTTAAATAATTTCAGATAATCATTTGAAATAAATACACACTGAAAGTTTGAATAGTCATGTTATATAAAGGAATGTTGAATTTTTTACTTTTGTAGAAATTCTATAGTTATTTAGATCAATGAGCAATTGCCAGTATTATTTTTGTGGCACATTATTTTACATATTAAGAGTACATTTCCACTAAAAATTTTTATATATCTGCATATATAATATTTTGTAAATTTTCAATAATTTTTGATTGTTCTAAGTATTCTTATTGATTTTTGTCTTCAAAATTAATTCTATTAGAAATTAGAAAGTACAATAAATACCTAGTTTAAATTATAGTCACTTTAAAACAAGCTTGTCTGTTTTTAATTATTTTGTCATTAAACCAAATAAAGCATATTTCAAGACAGCAATGATTTACAAAATTGCTATGAACTAATTTAATTTAAAATGTATTTTTAAAGTTATCATTACAGTTAATACAGTAGAATAGTGTTTATCCGTTTCACATTTATATTTTTATTCCCAAACAGTGCCATTTTTTTCAGTGGTGAAATATTTTGTTTATGCATTTAAATTCACTATTTACCCTCATTTCCTTTCTGATTAAAATAATATATTCCAATATTATTTTATAAAACATACATAGAATTTCTAGAACACATTTTATTCTGTACCTAGTTTTTACATTCCCAGAATTAAATGGCATAAAACTTGACCCCACCAAATTTGTTTTCTCAGAAATGGAGGATTAGTGGATTATTTATTATAGATATCTACATGTAATATCTTGTAATAGCTGTGGCATATACAAAAATTTGTTAAAGTTTTTTAATTTCAGGAACTATTCTGATATACAATATCTTAATGATTCTAACAACTAAGGGTTCTTAATGGATATTCTAAAATAAAAAATTTTTTTGTAGATTAATATAGTATATCATCCATTGCCAGTGTCATTTAAATCCTGAATACTCTACCATTGATCACCACAATTTACAGAGATGTCTGTGGTTAGCATCTCTAAATTATGATCACATCCGTCAGTGAATCTCTGCAGGCTTGAACCTTCAGCCACCAAAAACTGTAACTGCCCAGTGGTCTGCTTTGGACAGATTTGGTGTGTGTTACAAAATCTGTAACAAAAAATAAGTTACGAGGGCTGTTCGGAAAGTTTGCGGCCTTGCCTATATGCGGCGCTGCGATCAATTTAATTTTTGGCGGGAATAATTCAGCCATCTTTGCTAAAGATACGATACCAATTTCCGCTTGATTTGTCAAAAAGTTTTGCCACGACAGCTTAGCAGATAGTCAGTGTGCACATGCTTTGTCAAAAATGGAGAAGACGGAGACTCGTGCGGTCATAAAATACCTGACGAAAAAAGGGTTGACCCCATCTCAAATCAAAGCTGACATGGATGAAGTTTTAGGAGAGTCTGCTCCTTCGTACACCACTGTGAAAAAATGGACAGCCCTTTTTAAATCTGGCAGAGAAAGTGTGGAAGATGACCCTCGCAGCGGACGGCCGTCAACTGCTGTCACTGAAGAAAACATCGACAAAGTTCACGATTTGGTATTAGCAGATCGCCGTTTGAAAACGCGTGAGATAGCTGAGACAACAGGCATCTCTGTCGACCGAGTGCACCACATCCTAACCGAAGATTTGGGTATGACGAAGGTCTCAGCAAGGTGGGTGCCGCATCTGCTGACCGCCGAGCAAAAACGTGTTCGCACTTTGATGTCAAAGGAGTGTTTGGACTTCTACCAGAAAAACCCACAGGATTTCTTGCGTCGGTTTGTGACTACTGACGAAACGTGGATCCATTACTACACTCCTGAAACAAAAGAACAGTCGAAGCAATGGAAACACCACAGTTCGCCACCACCAAAGAAGGCAAAGACAGTTCCATCAGCGGGTAAAGTGATGGCCTCGGTTTTTTGGGATGCTAAAGGCATCATCTTTATTGACTACCTAGAAAGAGGAAAGACCATTAATGCTGTCTATTACTGTGAACTTTTGGAAAAACTGAAGAAAGAAATCGAAGAAAAGAGGCCACACTTGAAGAAGAAAAAAGTTCTGTTCCACCACGATAATGCACCTGCACATTCCGCCAGAATCACTGAACAAAAGATAAACGAACTTCGCTTCCAATTAGTTCCACATCCACCGTACTCACCTGATTTGGCCCCCAGTGACTTCCACCTTTTTCCAAACCTAAAAAAATTCTTGGCTGGAAAGAGATTCCACTCAAATGACGAAGTCATCTCTGAAGTGAACGAGTATTTTGCACACCTTGACAAATAGACCTATTGTGATGGCATAAAAAAGCTAGAACATCGCTGGAATAAGTGCATTGCTAACAGAGGAGATTACATTGAAAAATAAAAAAAGTTTTAACATTATTTTGTTTGTTTTTCTATGTGAGGCCGCGAACTTTCCGAACAGCCCTCGTATTACTATTATCTACAATAATTTTCTTCAAAACAATCATCATACTCTGTAGTTAATGCTACACTATAATACACATATAGATGAACATAATACTATGAAGGGAAACTTTTTGATTTGCACCATAAAAAATATAATTAGTTGTAATTCCTATAATTCCTTTTTATAATGACAAAAAGATATTCAGGATAATACATTATTTCCATTAGAAAATAAGATGTATGAGTAGAAGAGAATTCAAATTATTTATCCTCTGTCATTTTTGTTTCTTTTATATTTTTAGTTTCATTTCAAGTCATGTTTTGTTTTTTGAAAATTTTGAATTATTATTACTAGATTCATGCTATCCTTCTCATCCAAATTATTTATATTTTAATTGTTTGGATTTTATCATTAAAAAAATGTTTGAAATTAACTTGCATCTGATTTAGAATATTCACAATGGTATTTCCTTTTCATTTGCATTAGTGTGACATTTTTCATTCTCTGCTATTACCTAACATTTGTTGTTCAATAATATGTACTAACAATCAAGGCTGTGAACTTAGAGCAGGAAACAAATTCATTGCTAGAGGAATTGGAATCAGTCTGTATTTACAAATACTTGTTTTATTTTGTGCCAGTGCTTTATATTAATCTCCTATCTTGCATTATAGGAGCCTTGTGTAATGAAAAATCTTATTTTATGATGATTTGCCTACTTCATTATCTTTTATTGCATATTATTAATTACAGAAATTTAGAATTAGCAGACATAAAATGTATTCTAATATAAAGTTTTATTGTTGAAAAACCAATACAACATGGCTAGAAAGACTTTGGTTAAATCTGGAATTTTTGAATGCTTTACTATAACCATAGATGAAATTTAGTGTGTTGATGATGATAGTGCTAATGATAAACTCTATGAAAAAAACAATATGTATGTTCAGTGTCAAGAGGAATGCTTGATGGTTTGCTTAAATGCTTAAAAAGTACAAAGGAAGCACCATAAGTTTCCAACCTAATCTACTGTGCATGACTGAAAAGTCATGCACGGTAGATTAGGTTGGAAACTTATGGCACATGGCATGGCAGGACAAGTATGAGAGAAGTATATAAAAGATTGTTTATTAGTGTTTGATGCAAATTTAGTGGCTGTAGTACTAAAAGGTGATTTATAGTAGACTTCTGTATAAGACATTGTAGCAAATTTTAAATTACAGTACACTGGAACCCCGGTTAACGAACGTAATTTGTTCCACGAGTACGTTCATTAACCGAAGCAATTTTTCCCATAGAAATTAATGCAAATACAATTAATTCATTCTAGACATCAGTATTTTTGTAATTTTATTTGTAAAATGAGTTTTCTTTAATGAAAATATAGGAAAACGTGCTCCTAAACAGTCGATCTAGGTTAAATTTTTGGAAAAGGGGAAAGATTTGACGGGTATAAAAACATTACATACAGTCGTTAAAGTTCTAAAATGACAGATAGCAGAAACAATAGGCTAAATTATGAGCAAAAGGCTTATAGGTTTATCAACAATCTCTGATCAGAGTCAACGAACAGGTGTCAAATAAACGCCTCGGAACAAACCCTTCTCGTGACCTGATCTGGTTTCGGTTTCCACCTGGAGATAAAGAAGACAACAATCGGGAAGCGAGGAATGGGACGCAGGACTAATCGTAAGGTGAGATTCAAGAAGAAATATTATAAAAACCCCGAATCTCAAGGTCAAAACACAGTTTTCCTAAAAATTCTATGCCGATTAATCTGTGTTGTCTTCATCTGGATTAAGCCTGAAGTCGTGCCCGCTAAAATTTGTGTTGTCTCACACGGACCGCTCCAAGTTGTTGCAGCTCTGTCATCTACCATCGCTTCTGTGACCAAGCGAACCCATCTTGTCCACTCTGGGGCTATGACTTCTGGAGCTTGCACTATCGTAGGACCAGCGATACGCCACTCCTCAGTGCCGAGAGAAAACACTGTAGATAAGCCATTTCCAACTACCTCAAATATGTAAGCATCTTCCTGTTCTAATAAACGATTTTCACTGTAAAATATTTGTCATCTTTGTCTCCTCCGCCACACCAACGTACGAATGACCCTACACCATCACCGACACACGATTAACTGATTTCCCCTAAAAGTTGGCAAGCTTACAAATTTGACACAAAAAGCCGCTAAGTTCATTATCCGAGACAAAAATTTTCCAAAATAAAAGTTCATTAACCAGGACGTTCATTAACTGGGGTTCCACTGTATCAGGCTGTCATCAAGTTTCTTACAAAAGAAGGCCAAGCACCCATGGAAATCAAGCAATGCTTAGATTATGTGTATGGAAAAACTTTGTCATCATATACCACTGTCAAAGAATGGGCTAAAACATTTTCAATTAGGACAAGAATTTCTTGAAAATCATGAGATTTGGCCATCTAGTAGAAGTGGTAAACCTCAAAAAGTTGGTGTGATGGAGGAGCTGGTTCTTTTAGATTGCCAGTTGAAAGTGGAAGAAATAGCAACAATGAACAACTTATCAGATAAGTGTGTTCTGTACATACTTCATGAGCAAAATTAGTGCAAGACTGGTTTCTAAACCCTTTTTTGTTGTGTAACAGCAGCAAAGAAAGTGTGCGGTCGACTTTGGACTTTTATGAAGCAGGTGGAGTTGATTTTTCTTTAATCTTTTGTTACTGGAGATGAAACTATGATCCTTTATTATGACTTCTATTCCAAAATGAAATCAGTGGAGTGGCAAAGACCATGGGAGGGAGCAAAAAGGCTGAAGTGTTGCCATCAACCAAGATCATGGTTACTGTTTTTATTGGTGGATTTTAAAGAAAGGAAAATACTACTGTAAATGCAAAATATTAATGCTATTTTATCAGTTGCATACAAAGAGATGGGAAAATTAACAAGAGGACCGATCCACATCACAGTACAGGTAACCCCCGTATAACACGGTAGTTACGTTCCAAAAAATTGCCGTGTTATGCAAATCCGTGTTATACAAAACAAAGAACTAATACGAAAAGGAGGGTTAGGTTCCAAAAATTAAAAAACATGCTAGCATATTTTCATAATTAAGATAAATATCTTCATTAAAATTTTTTTAAGTGATACATATTAATATAAATTAAACAATGTTTTCTTCGTCATCACTAAAAACACTATTAATTAACCGAGAGCATTTTCTTTTTGGCAAGTTATCCTTATCCTCTGAGCATTTTTCTGCATTATCTTCAGATCCATGCTTTACCTTTTGCAAAATGTATGTAATTTTAGATTGCTTGCTTCTAGTTAAAAGGTCTTTATAAATTTCCTTATATGATGCTAAGCACTTATGAAGAATAAAGCAAGTATGGAATAAGGGAAAAACATTCGGCAACATCAGAAGCAGAAGCGTCGCGATCTGGCAACATTGAAACAATTTTCGCGAAGGACCATGTGTATCGACAGAAGGCAAGAAGAGAAAATTTACATACTTAAGTACTAATAGTTCATGAAAATAATAATTTTCGTGAACTATTATTACTTAAGTATGTAAAAATTTATTACATTTCATGTTGTACCAGGGTTTTACCCAATTCTCGAACCGTGTCAGAGTGAATCCGTGCTATAAAAGTACCGTGTTATACGGAGGATGGTACCAATTCTCGAACCGTGTTAGAGCGAATCCGTGCTATAGAAGTGCCGTGTTATACGGGGGTTACCTGTACTTGCTCAAGCTGCCATTTGGGACTGTAGCTTTGTGCAGCTCACTCACCTGGCCCTGTCAGACTATTTTTTTGTTTCCACATTTAAAAAAAATGAGAGAGACATTTTGACAGTGATGAGAAGCTGCAGACAACAGTAATGCACTATTTTAAACAAAAATCTTCAGAATATTTTTATTAAGGAATTGAACTGTTTTTTAAACATTGTCATAAGTGTGTTGAAATCAAGGGCAGTTATGTTAAAAAATGATTTTTTCTCCTTGCTATTTCTCACTAGATTGGAAACATATGGTGCAGTCTAAGTAATTTGATGATTCACTTGGTAATGATGAAATTCCATTCTGGATTAGTATAATGTTTATTACTTAGAGGCAGGATTTGGACCTTGCTTAAAATCATTAGTTCTGTAGTAAGTTCTCTAATCCTGCTGATAAGTTACTTGTTATACTTTTTCTTCCTTCCATGCAGTTCCATTTCTCTGTTGTTATTGCATTACATTGATAATTTAAGTAAAATTTATTGCTTGTTGACATTAATTTATTTATTAATTTTTTCGATTTGTTATTTTTATAGGCATTAAAATTATATTTCTTAGATTTTATGATCTACAGTATTTGACCTATTAGTTTCCCTTGTTCCAACTTAGCACTTATTTCTCTTAACCTATCAAC